GCTGGGAAATGGACAAAAGCAATTTCAGTAATAAAGTAAATATCAACAGACACTCACTTGCAAAGAAAGGCTATCCATGGTTCCCGCTTCACAAAATGGAACAAGAGCCAAGTATGCAAAAAGAAGACCTGCTTCATATCTGGCTAGGAACAAAAGGAAATTAGTCCATGATATGAAAAGTGGATAAACAATGTTACTCATAAAATGAACCCAAAAGTCAGATTTTAGACACTACATATCATCTGCAATTCTAAAGGCTCTTTTCTCCATCGGTGTGACAGCACCAGCAGCAAATGCTCGCCTCCAAAGTCCCTCTGTGAGTCTTCCTGAATCTTCTTCCAAATTTGAAAAGCTAAGGAAACAGAAAGACAATCTTACTGGTTATATGATGGCATCAACTTAAAATAATTATGAAGGAAACCATGCATCATTTCATATTTTTTTCTCTTCTTTCCCAAACAATATTTAGATTAGCAACTGGGAAACTGACATAATTCTGTGTGAAGTGGATCAAGTTATCCATTAAATTGGACTAGTGAAAAACTGAATTGGTACTCTAGAACTCTGAACAAGGTTTGTGAATAAGCCCCTAATGAAACTTTGGTGGAAATTACCCTCAACTCACAAACAGCAGCAAATTTCCCCAAAGTGGATGCAAAACATTAGTCAATGTTTAACTTATCTAATGTGGAGTGATGGGTTGACAAACGTATTCCATCCACTTTGAGGAAATTTGGTACTGTTTGTGCGTTAAAGGATGGATTTGCCACCAAAGTTTTATCAAGGGATTATTTGCTGGTATACTGAAATTACTTTGGGTCTTATATTTGCCTATTATTCCATGATAAAATGAAAAGTGTACTGAAAATACTAAATATGCATATTTTGAAATACTGAATAATTGCTGCAAGCCCTTCTTGGCATTATCTCACTTTCTGCATCACATTTGGTGAACAAAGGTAAAAATTTCCATGAAGACATAAAGGAGAAAGGAATTTTTGCATGCAACTCCTTCACACAGTTCAACTCACTTCAGCAACCAATTAGAAAGTAATCATATCCTAAGCAACAAAGTAAAGCATTTCTCCAATGACTTGTCAAACACTTTAATGATATAGATGGACAAGGGAGACTGTCAAGGTTAAAAAACCAATTGGCCTTAAGTTATAGGAACTTGTATTAAGGTCATAACACCTAAAGCTTGATGATTTCCCAGAAAGCAGGAAAACCTAGGGCCAAAATAGACCATTTGAGGCTTATATGAATTACTAGATGTGAACATCCAACCTAAAACCAATTAGCAATAAATTAAGTAGCCAACAAGTTTCCCTTAATCATTGTTTTTCCAACTTAACATGCCCCCTCCAACATGAACATCATCCCTGCACATTGGCTAACAACCATGCTCACCAGCCACTATCAACCTCCCCTGGGTGGTGCTAGCAGCTTCCAACAACCTCCCTTGGGTTGCACACTAAATGGTCTCAACATAAAATGGGGCCTGGGCTTGGATACCATGTGCACACCCAACTTAAAACCAGTTGAGAATGAGTGGGCTAGCTCCTATCATATTAAGTCTAAAAGTTTCCCCTTAATTGATATGGGATTTTTCCCACTTAACACTAGAGAATCAA